TCATTTATAAATTGCATTATTTCTCCACTTCTCATGCAAAATGCATTCCCTTCTTTTCGTCTTTTCAGTCCACAGTGACTTTGGAGGGAGACAAGCTGGTCCACGTCCAGAAGTGGGACGGCAAAGAGACGAAGTTTGTCAGAGAAATCAAGGATGACAAGATGGTCATGGTGAGACAACCTTAATCTATATATATATGAACATTTGCTGTATATAGACTTTCTATACTTTTTGGGAGCACTTTTGGAGACAGACAAACAACATTTTTTTTATAATGCAATTCCTCGAATTAAATGATTGTCCAGTTGCTTTCTGAGCCTAATAAGCTTTGTAACAACATAAAATTGATTTTGATGATTTTATGCAGTAGATGAGGTCCAGTAGATCAGTCCAACCAAGATTGATTTACAATTGGTCTGGAATTTTCTTATAACAATTATATGATGATTTGCTGATTAAGCAAATGAGGATTCTTTTATATATATTTAATTAAGTAAACTTGAGAATCATACTTTCTGTCCTCTCTCCTGTGCAGAATCTGACCTTTGAAGACATCCACGCAGTGCGCACCTATGAGAAGGCATGAGTGCTCTGAGTGACAGCCTCCCAAAACTGTCCAAAAAGTGATGGGTTTATAAATATTGTTGACTGTATGCTTCTCTTTGCACTTCATCCTCCTCCATATGTAAAAGCAAGCTGCAAGCTGCACAAATTTTGTAAGTTTTTTTTATATGAATACATTTCTGTCATGATGGATGGATCATCTTTGCAACCCTGTGCGGAAATACAAAATAAAAAAGGGAAAAAAAAGAATTTATTATTTGCCTCTTGCTTGATGTAGTGATATGGTGTTAAACTGAACAGCTGAACAGAATCTAAGAGACAGGCAAAGGGAAAGCATAATGTACACAAGATAATTGACTATCAAATTAAAACAGGAAGTGACTAACAAAGAAACCACTACTAAGACATACAAACTCGACAAAACAAACAGGGAGACCAAACATCCCCCGAGACCAGACACGACTGGAGAGGCAGAAAGGGAACTAACATGCTCAAACAAGAAACAAAGAACTAGAAATATA